TAAAATTAGTGGGTACTTTTGTGCACATCAGGACTCGGTTAAGGATATGGGCGACAGTCTCTAATGCATACCCCCAGAATGAGATAAGTAGTGAAGCACGACTCATCATAGAAAAAACCATGTCTAACAGGGTTCGATTACGCCTTTCTGCCTTACCATTCAATTGTGGTGTCCTAGGTTGCGTCAATTGCGAAACTATTCCGCATTCCTTGAGATAGTCGTGGAATTCAAGACTTAGGTACTCTCCTCCTCGATCGGATTGAAGCATCTTGATTTTCCTGCCCAATTGATTCTCCACTTCTTGCTTGAATTCTTTGAACTTTTCAAACGTTTCTGACTTGTGCTTGATTAAGTAATTATACCCATATCTACTATAGTCATCAGTAAAAGTCACATAGAAGCGGTTTTCATCCTTTGTGGTGGATCTAAAGGGTCCACATACATCGGTATGTATGAGATCCAATAAACCCTCACCCCTCTCACAAGTGCCAGTGAAGGGTGACTTGGTCATCTTTCCAAGTAAGCAAGATTCGCACGTGTCATCTTCCCTAAGGTCGAATGACTCCAACACTCCATCCTTTTGGTGTTGGGCTATGCGCTTCTTGTTAACATGTCCAAGATGACAATGCCACAAAGACGCTTTATCCATACTATTGGAAGAATCCATACACAACACATCATTTCCTAGGTTATCTACAACCATAACAGTTTCATAAATTCCATTACAAGGCATTGCTTCAAAATATAAAACACCATTTAGATAAGCATAAATAGAACCATTCTCAGTATTAAATGAATATCTAAATCCATGTTTAAACAAACCATGAAAAGAAATGATGTTTCTTGCCATATCTGGCGAGTAGCAACAGTTATTTAAATCTAAACCTAATCCATTACTAAGCACTAAAGAATACACTCCAATCTTGGTGATAGGCGATGATCTTCTGTTTCCCATTATTAGATTTATCCTTCCATGCTCCACATCCCTATTTCTTCTTAGCCCCTGCAAATCAGAACAAATGTGGTAACCACATCCTGTATCAAGAACCCAAGAAATAGCATGAGATGAATCGTTAGATTTAATTCTGTATATACCTACATAAGATGGCTTGATCTTTCCATCCTTGATGGCTTGCAGATATTCCGGGCAGCTTCTCTTCTAATGCCCTATTTTGTGGCAATGATGGCACTCTGCCTCCTTTGGGTTAGAGTTGGGCTTAGTAGGATCAACTTTGGTCCCACTAGAAGAGGAACCATCTTGGGACTTTCCCTTGTGGTGGTTCTTTGACGGAGCCTTCCTCTTCTTGCCCCTTCTTTGCCCAATTGCCAAAACAATAGCAGCGGGAGGATTAGGAGTTGGTGCAACAGACTTGTCCTTTAGGTTGCTCTCAGCAGTCCTTAGGAGCCCTTGGAGTTTACTTAGGGTGACCTCTTCCTTGTTCATGTGGTAGGATCCTAAATTGGTTGTAGCACGAGGGCAAGGAGTGAAGAACAATGTCGATAGCCAAATCTTCCCCAAAGTTGGCATTCAACTTGCGAAGACGATCAACATACCTTTGCCTCTTTTGCAAGTGCACGGTTAGAGATTCTCCACTTCCCATTTTAGCAGTGATCATATTCGTAATGATTTCATAGCGCTCTTGCCTCGCGCTTTGGTGATATCTCTCCATCAAGTCTATATGCATCTCGTAGGGATACATGTCCTCATAGGACTTTTGGAATTCGATTTTCATTGTGGCTATCATGATGCAATGGACTTTTGTTGCATCACGCTCATGGATCTCAAAGGCAACCATCTCTTCGGGAGTAGCAGTTTCAGGATTGACCTTCTCGAGCTTCTCATCGAGAACATACTCTTTGTCCTCGTAATGTGCGATAGTGCGAATGTATCTTATCCATTTGCTAAAGTTCGATCCATCGAAAGTCACTTTTTGACAAAGGCTCATTAGCGTGAATGAGCTAGCAACAGCGTTTTTTGCATTAGACATCTACAAATAGAAAGGACCAAGTTTGATTAGAATTGAATCCCTAATTAAACACCAAAAAGGAAAAATTAGGGCTAGGATCCAACAACATTATTCACACATTAGAAAAGGGATGCCGTTATCCAACGCACAAATAATTTGGAGGTAAGTGAATGACGATTCACTAATTCTTGATCATGAAAAACATAGGCTTAGGTTTTAAATGTATTGAGAATTCCTAGATTTTTCTTGGAGATTCATTGAACCTTTCAATGGTATGTTTAAATCTCGATATGCCCCTCTCGTTTGTGACTGAGATGCCGAGGATCACAAAGTGTGTGTGAATAACCATGCAAATCTACATGGTGCCTTCATTGTTACAATCACCTATTTAATGTGCCGGTAAACCACACACGCTCCATCGAACTATGACAAACAATGAATTACCCTTTACCACCTTTGTTGAGAACCAATTAGTGTGCCTGTAAACCACACACGCTCCACTAACTTCTTAGCAAGGGTGTAAAGTGTAATTTCATGGGATTGCATCAATTTCACTTTTTCCTAAAGTAACTAGGTTTGGGAATTTTAAAAAAAAATTAGTTACTTTATTTATATTCATTATACTTATTAATGAGGAGAGGATTGCCCTATCCTACCCGTTCGGCTAACAACCGTCCACCAGTCAAGCAAGCGGTGGGTGTGAGTGTACACCCATTAAGCGCCATTTTATAGGCAGCAACCTTATACCCACCTGATAGACCGACTTCGTGAATGAGGCCTACTAACGGTAAGACTAGCATTTTAATTATACATATTTATATTTATTAAGCTTGTAATAATATAATAGTATACGGTGTATTTTAAACAATTCAAAATACTTGGGTTTTAATCTTCAATTTAAAATTTTCAAAATTTAATACCATTCAAATTAAAAATTTTAACATTAAACCTCTTGATTTAATAATTATCTCCAATTAAACTATTAATTCAAATTATTAAATCATAAGGGATTATTAAATCTTAAAGGATAATTACCAATTAATAAATCAAATTATCCTAATCCCTTTTATCCCTCTAATTTTCGAAAATAATGGGAGGGGATAAATCAAAATCTTTAATTACCATATTTAACAATTAAGAGATAATTACAAGATATGAGATTATCCAAATCCCTCAAATTTAGGATATAATCTTCGGGAAGGAGGCAAATCTCGATATCTAAGGGCTTGCAAACCCTAGATCTTGAAATCTTGAGCTAAAAGGAAGGGATTCAAAAAACCCTTCAAGATTTTCGCAAATTAGGGTTAGGAAACCCTAATCTCGAAATCTTTAGCATCGTAGGGTTTATTGGCTATAAACCCTAATTTGTTAAGTTCATACAATTGAATAAGACTAATTGAAAACAAGTTAACCAAAGGCTCTGATACCACTGGTGGGTTTTATACAAACAATCCTATGTGTGCATGCAACCCTAGATTTGGATCTACGTTTTCACTATTAGATATACAACTTTATGAACACATGAATAAAACCCTAAATTATCTTGCTATTTTCGAAATTCACATATAAGGTTAGATTACACACCTCTTGTTGTTATATTGTAATAACAACTTAAATATTCAAACCCTAAGTCTTGAAAGCAAGCACCACAAGTGTAGTGCCTCTAATGGCTCACAAACACCACAAACAATTGGAGAGGCTATAGAGAGAGATGAGGAGAAGTAGAAATCAGCCTAGGGATCTCTTAGGAACCAGTGGGACGATTTCTCAAGGGGTAGGAGTATTTATATAGGGTTAGGATTAGGGTTTCAGTCCGTATCCTTATCTAGTTACTTGCTCACCAAGAAACCATGACATAAGCCTTGAAAAGCCCTCATCCCTTGGACCTTTGACGATTTTAAGGATATCCTTATCCTTGAATTCGTCCATCCTTTAACAAGGATAACCATTGCCCTACTTTGCAACTATCACATAATTACAATTCGGTCACTCTAGTTTAATTAATTACACTTGATCACAAAATTAATTCCTAATTAATTATTGACCAATATTAATTGAACAAATATGATTTCTACTTTAATATATTATTCTTATAATATATTAATAAATCATAATAACCTCTTTCTCTGTTTATTTCTCCATTGAAGTTACTTTGGTGAAGGCAACCCAAAAGGACCATGCATAATCGGGTCAAGTATTTACCAAATATTGTTACGGGCATAGACACTAATCCAACACCATCAAACAACCAATATGTCATTACTTAAATCCTTCTTGTTGTTAATCACTTATCTTCCAATCATAGTGTTGTTTCCATAAGGACTTAATGGGTTATGAAGCCAGCTTAACCCAAAACACAATGTTATGTTTGATGTGAAGTTACTCTATTCTTTCCATGTCTTGCAAAAATCATAAAAATACCATGAAACATATTTTTGAGTCGAGAACAATGCCCAAAGTTTTACATGTAAGTCTACTACATTTCATTAATTTTTGGTGAAATCCAGAAATGCCTATACCCACGGTAACAACGACCATTTACCCAGACTAGTTCGGAATGAGCTGGTATGCGAAGCTGTTTTGTAAAATTCACCATAAATTGTAGAAACACCGTATGGAGGCATGAAAGTACTATGTGTAAAGATAAGGATATGAAATATATTCATGTGATACAGTTTTGAAAAATATGGAGTTTAAGGGGGGGGGGGGGGAACAGGTCCGAACAAACCCTATTTTTTTTTATCTAGAAAGCTTAAATTTAACCCCTTAGTCCAATTGCATAATTAGGGAAAATAAGTAACTAAACTTAACTCCAATAAATATTATTAGGAAGTGTGAAGGACAAGAATGTGTGAATGAGTCTCGGGTTACCTTGAAGATTGCGTTGCTTTTGTAGGCGAGTTCCTCACTACACCATATTGTGTTATATCTTGTTTACATTTAGCCCGTGTGTGCTATGTATTGTATTGTTTATGTGGGTATTACTAAGAGAGGTAGAGCCTAGTGGATTGCCTCACATATTGAGGATTATGTATGGTAGGACTCGACGCATCCGAGTGGGGATCGGGCATAGCCAATGTATGCGAAAAGCTCGATGAACTGAGCAAGGGGAATTGGGTCTGGCCAATATGTCCCAATGGGTTCGGGTATGGGGGATCGGGCTTAGCCAATATGTACCAAGGGCTTGATTTACTGAGCAAGGGGGCATCAGGCCTAGCCAACATGTCCTACCAGGTGTATGTCTATTACTGATTCGTTATTTGACATGCATTCATTGTTATGTGTTTGATACCGTTTGTATCGATGTATATAGCTGAAGATTAGATGATATGACACTGTGTATGTGTGGAATTCACTAAGATTTGTGCTTACCCCTATTCCCGCAAAAACACTATTTCATATATTTAGAATGGTCAAACATGATTGTACACATTGGCTCGTGGCGGGTTTTTGGAATTGATTGGTTATGTTGCATAAATTTTAGAATTATAACGAATAATGTTTGGAAACTGGATTGATCTTGGGGTTTGTATTTCATTTGTTTTGAATAAGATACATTTAGTGAATCATTTATGTTATTTTAAAAAGTTTAAATTTATTGGAAATTTTGGGATGTTACAAGAACACTTCAGGAGTTCCGGCACCGCTGTCTGGGTATATCAGTATTTCTCAACAAAGCAGAGATTTTTCGCACAGAGTTGCTATTTGTTACTATGGCACTTGTTCGAGCAGTCTTCAGCAACCGAATGAACTGACTACTTATGACTGAAGAGTATTTATTTTACTCTCATTCTCATGTTTTGTTGAAACCCTTCATTCATATAGGGAGAGTATGTGAAACTCTTGGTATCCGACACTCTCCATCTTGATTAATTTATTTATTTTTGATAAACCGGAATTGGTTATCAAAAATAGGGAGAGAATATTATGAGAATCCATATTATTGGTTATGTTTTTAAGAGTGTGGATTTTGAATATATCTAGGAAAAGGAGTTTTTTTTTTTTTTTTTTTTTTTTTTTTTTTTTTTGTATTTTGAGGTGCTAATTTGTGTGGAAGTTAGTAGTAGGGCCCCTGCTATTGAAAACATAGGATTCATGCCCGAGTCAAGGGAAGTCATGGGGTAATCTAAGGAGCCTTAGTGTAGTAATGTTTACATGGTTAAATGTTTATTAATAAACTATATTAATGTTAAGGTTTCCATATTCGATTGCGAAATGGTGTATATGACAAAGGGCGCTTTAGGATTTGATACTGGATTGTATGTCGATTAGATATTAAAGACGTTTACGATGGTGATGATGTATGCTATGGTGAAGAGTGATCAGGGTTACTAGTGAGCGAGTAAATAGAGAACAATGTGAAAGTACCACTTGAATATGTGGTGATGAATCCTATCTAAATTAAATAGAATGTTGATTATGCAACATAGAGTAGAGAGCTCTGAGATTGACTCAGACAGTGTTATCCTATGTTATTGAATGTTGTTGTGGTCTCTTAAGATCTTACTATAAGAATTGTCTAGTATCATTAGGCAAATCACTGATAGATTGGTCGTCGAGTTCGAGGAGTGGGTTGCTGCCATTCAGACTCCTAATGAGATAATGGAAGCATATATGGAGAGATCCTAGTTTAGAGACATAGCTAGGAAAGAGTAAGCATGTGTAAGGCCCAAATTTGTTAACAACTACCAAGAAGTTAATGTTGTTGTGCCAAGAACTGGAGCGTCGAAGGACTATGACATCTATGGTTGGTGTGGAAGGATCCACAAGCCTGTGTGTTGCAAGTTCAAATGTAGCAGGTACAAATGAAATGGCCAAGTTTGTCAAGACTTCACATTAGAGGTGGATTTATGTCACTGTTGTCAACATCGTGGTCACAATAGGGCCTCGAGACATAGCTAGCTCATTTCTTCATGATTTATGTTGTTATAGTATTCTAGTTACATACATTTAGGTATATATAACCAACCTTGCATCATTTATAGCATGATTAGGATGGGGAATTGCACGAGTAGGTTTCTTATCCTCATGATTAGTTATTTGAATGTCTATTTGATATTGTATGGTGTGCAGGGTGCTTAAACTAATTACGACTTAGGAATGAGTTGCTCCTAGCATCGTTTACATTTAGCAAGAAGATGATGTTATGGTGGGAGTTTTGGAGCACCTTCAGAAGTTAGAGGTTACTAGTTGACTTGGCTCTAATAGTGATGCGGGGACTACCTATGACGGTAGCTATTGTTTTTAAGGACATGGTTGATGCGTAGTTTGTTTTCCGTCGCAAACAGGTATGCGTTCAACCGAAACGGGGTATAACAATAATATATAGCAATGACGTAGGTGGGGTATATCAATATGTCTATTTTCAAGAACTCATGGTAGGTATATAAAATAATGTAGAAGAGAAGGTAGATGATGTTTCGGTTGTGTGGGAGTTTACAAGAGTTTTCCTTGAGAGCTCTAATATCTTTTCATGAATAGAGAGTTCTACCTAGTTCCTTATTATGTAGTCCCATAGAGTCTAAATACATACAGTCCATTCAAAGGTTCGTTGGATAATTCATTCAGTCAAGGGCAACATCAAAGGTTCATTGGATTCCAAGTGGGGAAGAGTTACCCATCTAGGGCAACAATCTAAGGATTGCGTAAACCTCATTATGGTAGGAAGGACTTAAGAAAGTAACTGGAGGTTCCAAAAAAATTATTGTATTTTAAGGAGATGAATGAAGGGAAAAGAAAAAAAATTAGACAACTCTTAAAGATAGATTATTTGATTCAGTTATTGTTTTTCATTGTCGGCTGTTATGTATTCAATAATGATGCGGGTGCGTTTGTTTTCAGCAGGTGTTGCTTGTTCGAGTAAGTGATCATTTGGTGTTTTGAGTCATCAAAAACGATTCTCGTATTAAGAATTTGGAGAGGCTTTGTTTTAGGATTGTAGTGAGAGTTCCCTTGCCTATTCTTGTTTGATGAAGGCTTGGAGATATTAGGCATGGTTCGAAAACCGGATAGGTCTAGGTTCCTATGATTCGATATTGCAGTTAATTCTTGGTTATTATTGTTAGGAGATGTATTATGATGGTTAGGTTCCTTTAGGTTAGTGGGATGATGGTTTTATACATATAGGCTCATTGAAGTATTAATCATGAAACAAATAGGCCCGGTTCAGATGATAACAAGGTCGGTGCATTGCCATGAATTGAATGAATGGTAACTGGAAACCTACAGGTTCGTTGAATGATGGTTACGTTCTTATAGACCTATAATGGTTTGTTATGGGATTAAAATTGGTTTTTATTGAATGTGTGATTAGATTAGTTGGTCTAGTTGTTTTGTAACTAATTGAGGAAGGTACCATGGAGTACATTTGGTGAGACATACAAGAACTTGTATGAGATTATAAATAATGTAATAGTGTATTTCGGGTGTATTGACGGAAGATCGCTAGATAGTGTGTAAGAAGTATTTTATTCATGTAGTTAAAAGTGTTGATTCATCAGGAAGACAATTAGAGTGCTAGATAGTGTGTAAGAACCATTACCCCTGACGAGATATTGAGGACATGTTAATTAAGATATGGTTTCATTTTGGAATGATAGAGTTCCTTGTTAAAAGACTACTACGTTTCATGCCTGGAGAATTAGGAATGATCTTTAGCCTTAGAGGGTCTGTATCAGAAGTTTAAGAGCATAAATTGTCACACCACAAAACCGAGAACGGCGGAAACATTATGGGGTGGAGGACGTCATGTAATGTATCACAACAATGCAAAGTAGTAAACAAGCAACAACATCATTCATTGCATTTATAGTATAATTTTAAATACATGCATGTTATTTCATAGTATAAAACAACATAATGAATAATCAAAAATAAAAGACGTGTCTTGATTGCTTCGTCCTCACAAAACCTGGTTGTCGTACTTGTCTATTTGTGACCTAAGAATACAAATTATTTTGAAAGCGAGTATCAGCAATAAAGCTGGTGAATTCATAAGTATTAATGTGTCTTTGATTTGTAAAACTGTAAAGAAAGACATGTAAATGTTTGAAGAAAAGTTTGTATCAATGAACATGTTGGTAAGTAATTGTAATCATTTGACAACCCTAGAAAATCCCAGATTTCCTACTAGTATAAAAAGTAGTCTTCTACGAAGACCCAACTGTTTTGAAAGTAGCCTTCTACCAAGACCCGACTGTTTTGAAAGTAGCTTCTACCAAGACCCGACTGTTTTGAAAGTAAGCATCACTGTAAATCTGACCGTTTTTCCCCTATGTAACTATATAGTAAAACTATAGTCTACCTCATCGTTTATGTGTATGTGTCACAATATAAATGTAATAAGGCAAATAGTCTATCTATATTAAATATATTCTACCTCTTCGTTCATGTGAATGTGTCACAAAGTAAAGGTAAGAAGGAAATAATATAATAACTAAAATTGTATCCTTTTGTACTAGGATATTCACGGTGTGGTAACTCGCCGAACAGTACAACCGTAGACACCCGTCGATGAGCATTTTCCCTACTGTAGCTAACAACCTTGGGTGTGGAATGGTAAGTCCCGAAACGTATGTAATAGATTCTATGAAATAGTATCTATGTAAACGTATCTATGTAAACGTATTTATGTAAACGTATTCATGAAAATGTATCTATGTAAACGTATCTATGTAAGCGTATCTCCTGTAATTGTATGTAATCGTATCTCTTCATATAGTATGTAATGTATTAGTATAGACTCATGAATGAACTAACTCTTGTGTGATTCCTTGTACTTGGAATAGTAAGTAGTATCTCCTAACTATACCTATTATAATTACTATTAATGTACGTGTATAACCGAAAGTATGCCTTTGCTACCCAAAGGTACTGTACTGACTGACGGAAATTTTGGGTGTATATATGTATACATGATATATAACTAATATTTAGACAACATTCGGATGAATAACCGATGCTCTAAGGCCACATCTCAACGAGGAAAAGGAAATAAAGCGAGCTAGCCGTCCTAAGTCCTTTAAACATTACTTATATAACTATACATATACAAGCATGCATTTGACAATATAAAAGTATAAAATAAGTTTTGTAAAACCTTTGAAAAATTTAATAACTAAGAAATGATGACTTGATGTCATTTTATAAAATGATTTGAAAGTAGTTTCTTTGATAAGAAAATTTTAAGTATAAGGAAAACCTTTGTTTGAAACACAATTGTAACAAAGTATGAAAGGAAAAATACAGTATGTAAGATAGTTTGATAAAGAGTTTTAACATGTAAAAACATTTGTGAAAGTCAATTGAAGTAATCAGTTTGGTAAAACAGCTAAAAGTATAGTAAATCCATTTGTATGCTAGTTATTAATCACATGTGATTGATATAATAAATAGCTTGATTGAACTTGTATTCCCCCCCCCCCCATAAAAGCATTTATAAACATTTAAAAGGTTAATTTAAGGGTATGAACTCGCATGTAGTGAGTGGATCGTATGGAAGTGTCAGACAAGTGCTTGGTGTCAAGTGAAGATTTAAACACACAAAATGATCCTAATAACATATAAAGACATATGTATGTATATATATATATATATATACAATTAGTGATTATAACACTAATTAGACAAGTATAAACATTCTAAGGCGTGGAAAACACTTTGGTCAAAGTGTTAGGAGGCCATTTGGTTGCAACAAAGGAGTGCAAGGCATTGTAAGTGAGTTTATGGTCAATGGACCATACTTATTGGAGTTTACGGTGCACAGGGGGGTTTACTCCTGGCCGTAAACTCTAAAACGGGTCTCCAATTGAGGCTTAAAGCTATGATGGCTTAAGTGGTTAACTGTTCCAAGGCTTAAACAAGAGGCTAGGTGAGTTTAAGGTCCAAGAATGACCTTATCTTGACTCTATGGCCTGGGGACCACTTTCCTATGAGTTTACAGCCGTAACTCGTGGTATGAAGTAGCATTTCGTTTCTTGAAGTCCCTAGTTCAATGGTGTATGGTTCTAGACTAAGTTATGGGCATAAGGAAGGAGGAAAGGGCATCATTGCACCCTTATAGTGAGTTTACGGCCTTAGGAGATCCTTGTCCGTAAACTCTCATTCATCCATATATTCTTGATGATTCTAAGCTCTAAACATGTTAAACCTAGTGTACAATGAGTTAGAACAAGAGTACTTAGGATCTAGGAGCTTGAATGGTCGGTTTTGGGAAAGAACACTAGTGTGTATTCTTGGTGTTCTTGGTGAAACTAAGAACACTTGAAGATCAACACAATTGGAATGATTTCACGGATGGAATTGTGCAAGATCACTAGATTAATTAAGATATCAATTAGTTAGGACAAGAAACTTATGAGTTTTCAAGATCGGGGATGAATATTGGGATGATACTTGAGAGGATTTGGGAGGAAATCAGCCAAGGGAAAGAAGGAAATGAACTAATGACCACATATCATCATATAAGGGTGGGGTTTACAGCCCACATGGAGTTTACGGCCGTAAACTCCCATGTGGTGGCCGTGAACTCCTTTTAAAGGTGTTTAAGGCTAGTTCTTTGAGCTATAACTTCAGCAGATAAACCCCGAGACTTATCCCTTAAGTGTACAAGGCTCAAAATGCTCAAATAG